GAATCCTCAGTCAACAAAGTTTTATTATCAGGGCTAACTTACAGTCATGACGGATAACAACGGAAAAAACCCACTTGCAAAGTGGAGGTGGTGGCTCGCAGCAGCCCACTGCACCACCACTACCTGGTTCTGGTTTCTCAGGGGTAACCTTTGGCAACCCTGCTTCAACAGCTGCATCTGTAACTGGACTAGGAGGCGTAGGAGGATAGTCCCAGTCCTTCGCGTTTAACGCTGCAACAGATGGAGATGGTTCTGCTGCAGGAGATGGTGCAGCAGGTCTCGATCCTGTGATACAACAACAAGTTTTTCAGGCCATGTCAGCGTTCATGGCAACACAACAAGCGCAACAAGCACCACAAGCATCATCGTCAGTGAATATGGGAACAGCATCAATGAGCATTGACGAGACATCATACATGCGACAACAACCGGTTTCTTACCGTGCTCCGCCTCGACAGCAGACACGAATCACTCAGGCGTTCGTGCCCCGAACTGCACCTTCGCAACAGCAACAACAACAGGATGGAAACAGACTTGGAGTAGGCGATGCAACTAATTATCAAGCTCAGATGCTGAACATACTGAAGTTTCAGACTTCAAGACCTTTTGACGGAAAGGAATTATTCGCCTGGAGTTTTGAATTTGAACTCATGATGGAAGCAGCACAGATTTGGGAGTACTTCACTGGGGAAATACAGTATCCAACCAACGGGACGCAAGAAGACCAGCGCAGCTTCGCCTTTCAATCAATGATGGCTTTCACCATACTTCTGCGCAACATGTCACCCATTGAACAACAAGGCATCAGATCATACAGGGAGTTTGCCAACTCAGCAGAGTTAGCATGGCAACATCTGAAGCGGCTTTATCAAGCAACAGAGTGTGTAACACAGAGCAGACTCATGTCACAGTTGAACAACGTGCAGATGAAGGCAGGAGAGCATGCAGTGCAGTACATCAATCGGTGCAGAGAGCTACGTGATCAGTTTAATCGAAGTGGAGGAAGCTTCCCTGAGTCGATGTTTGTGACAGTTGTCATCGCTGGACTTGGACCTCAGTGGCGTAATACACGCTCTCTTCTTTGGACTCAAGGGAATGTCTCGGAGATGCACCTCTGCACAACACTCCTTGCCAAACAGCAAGATATGGATCTGTACGACAGCAAAGGCAACAAGAAGATAAATCAGTTCGCTTTCATAGCACACCGTCAAGTGGAGCCGCCTAAACAACAACGACAAAAGCAATTTCAGCAGCAGCAGAAGCAGCGACAACAGTAGCCGAAGCAGCAGCAGCAGCAGTATTACGTATCTCCGTTTTGTCACATCTGCAAAACCTCCGATCATTCTCGTGATCACTGTCCTCAGCTTCAACAGACGACTCCTCACCGCCCAGCTGCTGCTCCTCCACAGGTTGCAGCCGCTACTGCATCAGCTGCACAAAGTAAAACACAGACCATGTCAGTACCAACAAAGGGGAGAAACTTGTTTGCCTGTATGACTCGCACGGACTCGTGCATCCCAGGCTCACCTCCAACCTTTACTCCAGATGAAGTCCCAGAAGCAGTTTCGACAAATCTTCAAGTCAATCCACAGTATGCCAGTGTCGTGTCAAACTCATATGCTATAGTCTGTGTAGGCTGTAGTGGGGTAGCTCATATGGGGTACAACACTTTAGGGTTTCCTACTTGTACTCCTCATGCTGCTCAATGCAATCATTCCTCGTCCTTATTCTGACATGGTATTAGAGCAGAATCGTTCCTAGGGCCCACCGAACGTTCCGCCCTGCCCTAACTGAAAATGTTTTTTTTTTTAACTGCCCTTGCAGCCCGCGTGCTGCCCCTGCGACCGTGCTGCCACTGCAGCCGTGCCTGCCCCTGCAGCTGTGCCTGCCCCTGCAGCCGTGCCTGCCTCTGCAGCCTGTGGGAGCTGCCTCTGCAGCCCGCGCGCCGCCCTCCCGAGGAACTGTACATGCCCCTGCGGCCGTACCTGCCTCTGCAGCCCGTGGGACCTGCCTCTGCAGCCCGCGCGCCGCCCTCCCCAGCAGCTGTGCGTGCCCCTGCAGCCGTACCTGCCTCTGCAGCCCGTGCGAGCTGCCTCTGCAGCCTGCGCGCCGTCTCTGCTCGTCACGGCCCCCGCTGGGCGCCGTCTCTGCTCGTCGCGGCGCCCCCCCCCGCGGCGTCCCCCTTACTCGTCGCGGCACCCGCTGGGCGCCGTCTCTGCTCGTCGCGGCGCCCCCTAGGCGCCGTCTCTGCTCGTCGCGGCCCCCACTGGGCGCCGTCTCTGCTCGTCGCGGCGCCCCCCGCGGCGTCCCCCTTACTCGTCGCGGCGCCCGCTGGGCGCCGTTTCTGCTCGTCGCGGCCCCCGCTGGGCGCCGTCTCTGCTCGTCGCGGCGCCCCCTGGGCGCCGTCTCTGCTCGTCGCGGCGCCCCCCCGCGGCGTCCCCCCCTTACTCGTCGCGGCGCCCACTGGGCGCCGTTTCTGCTCGTCGCAGCGCCCCTTGGGCGCCGTCCCTGCCTGCCGCGGAGCCCCTGCAGCAGTCACGGCCCCGCCCTGCACCAGCTGCCGCGGAGCCCCCTGCAGCAGTAGCGGCCCCGCCCGGCAGCAGCTGCCGCGGAGCCCCCTGCCTCAGTAGCGGCCCCGCCCTGCAGCAGCTGCCGCGGAGCCACCTGCAGCAGTCGCGGCCCTGCCCTGCAGCTGTTGCGGCCCCGCCGTCGCCGCTGTCGTGCGCCTACCCTGCTCGCCTGGCGAGCGACTGCCCTTCCCACCACTGGTGAGCACTTGCCCTACCCGTGCTTCCCATGCGCCTGCCTTACTAGCGCGCTGCCACACTGCCCTACCCGTGCTGCTACTACTGTTTCTGCTGCTACTGCTGCTGCTACTGCTACTGCTGCTACTGCTGCTCCTGGCGGTGGCCAGATGCAGCTCCAGCGACGTCCGCGTGAGCCCCTCACGCCCCAGCAGCTTCGTGAGTGGTACGCTAGTTGGGGTTCTAGGGGTGGCCGTGCTGCTACTGCTGCTACTGCTGCTACTGCTGTTACTACTGCTACTGCTTGCTACTGCGGCTACTACTGCTACTGCTGCTCCTGGCGGTGGCCAGAATGCAGCTCCGGCGACGTCCGCGTGAGTCCCTCACGCCCCAGCAGCTTCGTGAGGTGGTACGTTAGTTGGGGTTGTAGGGGTGGCCGTGGTGGGAGTCGCCCCTGGAGCGGGTCGTTCTTGTAGTGACCAGGTGCAGCGGCAGGTGGCGTCTGCGCCCTGCGGTCCTTTCGCCTCAGCAGCTTCGTGAGTGGTACGCTCAGAGTGGAGGGTCACGGAGTACTGCTCGCTGCCCGTACGTTCCTTCGCACTGGTGCTCGGGCTGGTCAGCCTTGCGGGACGATTGGTCACACAGAGTCCCGCTGCTTCTCCCGTCTGAGCGACGCCTGGCGTACAGAGTTTGGCGACGCGGCTGAGCTCCCCGACTGGGTTGAGCTGCTTAGCAGAGGGTAGATATCTTTGCTCTTGACTATGATGCTATCCTCACTGCCATGTATGCGTTGGCCTACTAGTGCTGAGGGTGCCTGTTACCTGTCTGTGCCGCCTGACCCAGGTATAGAGTCAGCTGCTCTAGGTGCTGGTGAGGCTGCTGCTTTAGGTGCTGGTGCGTCTCCTGCTCCAGGTGCCGGTGAGGCTACTGCTCTAGGCGCTAGGGAGTCCACTCCTCCAGGTGCTGGTGAGTCTGCTCTCTCCGGTACTACGCCTGCTGCGGCCTTTGCACACTTTCACCCTTGACTCGGGTGCTTCCCGCTCCTTCTTTCGCGACTGCACCACACTCTCGCCGCTCAGTCGGCCAGTGGCAGTCTCTCTGGCTGACCCCTCTGGGGGTCCGGTCCTTGCACACTCCTCCACGGTCCTGCCGTGTCCGGCGGTCCTGTCTGGCTCTCTGTCTGGCCTCCACCTCCCCTCGTTCTCCACGAACTTGGTGAGGGATCTGACCTTCAGGACGTGTGGGTTGACCAGTTCACTCCTGGAGGTCAGCGGGTGACCCACTGTTCGTGTACTCGGACGGGCCGGCACCTGGCCACGTTCACCCGTCAGCCTGGGTCGAGCCTGTACACCCTGACTACCGTGTCTCCTCCGGTTGCTGAGTCTGGTTCGGGTAGCCGCGTCGGGTCAGGTGTTTGCTTGCAAGCGTCCCGGTCTGGCCCTGAGTCTGCCCCCTGCTCGTGTCGCCTCCTGTCTCACGAGACTCTCCTTTGGCACCACCGCCTTGGTCCACCCCTTCCTGCCTCGTCTCCGAGGCATGGGCCTCCCGTGTCCTTCTCTCAGGTCTCCCCCGAGTCCCTCCCTCCCTTCCTCCGGGGCCTGC